GGGGCTCAACCAGTCCATACCCACTATAACCTTATTCACTCGCAGGGGAATGGGGACCAAATCCTCTGAAAACGTCTCGTCGAACAATTGTAGTATGCATCCCCGATGCACCCTCACAACCCGAATGGTGCTATAATCTGCTATCTCCACATCAAGTGGACAGTCTAGCTTCCCCGGAGCTCCAAAAAATCGCCTACTAAGTGCAAGCGACACAAAAGATCGGGTGGCCCCCGAATCGAACAATACCAGGGCTGATATACTATTCACTAAGAACGATCCTATAACAAAACAAGTACACGTAAGTGATAATCAGCACAGATAAAGAGATAAGGAGAGAATACATACCCGTCACAACATCGGGAGCTGCACGTGCCTCCTCTGCAGTAAGCTGAAAATCTCTGCTCCTCGCCGTAGGTGTCTCTGCCCGGCCCTGACGGCCGTCTGTAATCCTCAACGTGGCAGGAGCGGGTGCCACCACCTGTCCTGCTGATGCTAAACTCGGACACTGGGCCTTTTTGTGGCCCCTCTGATTACACTGATAGCAAATCAAATCTGAAACTGTTGTGGTGGTGGTGGGTGCTGTACAATCTCTGCTCATGTGGCCAGTTCGGCTGCACTTGAAGCAGTCCGAACTCCCCACTTTGCACGCCCCCTCATGTATCCTGCTGCACTTGCCATACCGGCTACGACCCTGCTGGCTCCTCGATCTGTGATCTGATACCTTGGGCTTCTGCCCGAACTACCTGTTTGAACCCCATCTAGTTTCCTCTTTCTCTCAATCTCTAAATGCAACTCCCTCTCCTGAGCCCTAACAATCATATCCTCCAGCGTCTTGCTGCTGGATCGGCTCACAAACTGGCAGATATCACTCTGCAGCATCTCATGATATCAGACCTTTTTCATCTCCTCGTCCGCCACGTACTACGGAATGAGAAGGGCCCTCTCCCTGAACATAGCGGTGATCTCGGCCACCGTCTCCGTAGTCTGCTGGAGGTCCTGGAACTCCCTCGCAAGCTGTTGCAACTCTATCACTGATGCAAACTCGGCCCTGAACCTGGCCGAGAAATCACTCCAAGTCATCGCATCAATAGCGACATCATCTCCAATAGCTCTCCCAACCTCCTCCCACCAGTCACGTGCCCTGTCCTTCAGAAGACAGGACGCAAGTCTAACCTTGTCCCCCTCGGGACATCTGCTGGTGCAGAAGGCGTTGGCGACATCTGCCAACCATCTGTCGCTAGCAATGGGGTCCCGAGCCCCGTGATAGTCTGGAGCTCCGCAAGCTCAGAATTTCCTAAACGTCAACGTGTGCGACCCTATCATGGCCGCCACCTCAGTGCGTAATGCACTCAGTCTCTCATCTAAAAGCTCCAAGATACCCTTCTTGACCGTACCAAATATCACAGGACTCTGGTATACAATGTTGCGCGTGACCTCAGATGAGATGAACCCCCTCATTTGGTCATCTAGCTGCCCGGGTCCAGAGTCCGAGCCTGATCCTTCACCAGTGCCTGAAGTGCCAACTGGCCTAGTGCGTAGCGTCACCATACTGAAAATACACCATAACAAACATCAATATACTCATCCTAACTCGAGGGATCTCACATACTACAAGTTTCCTAGGTTCATCTCAGCCTTCCTTGATTCAAGTACGGATCCTCTGCTTTCAGTAGTACGGGCCCATACTACCTTCCAGATCTATCCGTACTTTCCTCAAGAACTGCCTTGACTCCACCAAGTCCCTTCTACTACTACTGCTCTCTGCTAATCTCATCCTAGGCTTGCCCTAGGGTAATCACCAACCCACTCTCCGCCATCAGCTGCATAAGGAATCCCTGCTATCTCCCCCTAACTAGCTCGCGAATACTATTACATATCACTAAGACTAGATAATTCTTCGAATGAGAGGTCCTACCCTACAACGGTTAGACTCAAACGAGAGCTGCAAAATAGAGCTAAACCTAACCTTCTCAAATTATTTAATCCTTGCAATATGTGACTTAACATATTCGTTTACTAGTTAGTTAGAGATAACTAGAACTCCTAAAAGCACAAAGCAAGCAGCATCTGAGCATTGAGTACACATAATCAAGCATATCCTAATCAGCCCATCATATTACTGACTAATCTGTACTAGCATGCAGTTCATAAAGCTGATACACATACAACAAGCACATTAGGCGTCCTTCCTAGATCCTTTTCCCTAATCTAGCATTCAGTTCTCATAAGCATATCATAACATAACTTGTATGGGTAATTTGGGAGTACTTACTTGAGCTCGACTGATTGCATGCACCACACCCTTTTCTCTTTTCGAAATTCTTTTCTCTTTTCAAAGTTCTTTTTATAAAAATTATTTTCTTTAGAAAATTGTCATACCAATTCCTTAGTTTGAGTTTAGACACACCTGAGAGTGTGCCCGAATCCCTCAAACCAAGGCTCTGATACCAACTTGAAACATCCCAAAAAATACAGTCCAAAAATTTCATTTTTAATTCATTAATAAAAACTATAAATATCTTTCATCATATAAAAATCATAAATCGTGTATCTCAAAAATATCATAACATCTGTAAATATATCAAAATCATATGTCAAACATCAGAGTGAATCCTCCCAGGCTAAAGTTGTGGTGTGTGCCATGCAGTCATCCCGAGCTCTTCCCTTTACTAGCGGAAGTACCTGAAACCAAAACTAAAAAAAAATGTAAGCATGAAGCTTAGTGAGTCTCCCCGACTACCTCATACCATACACATAATCAGATAATCACATACATTGGGCCTCGCCCTGCTACATCGGGCACTGCCCGACATTGGGCTCCGCCCGACATCAGGTCCCGCCCGGCACCTGACCGCATCTGGCATCGGGCCCCGACCGGCATCGAGCAAAGCTCGGCATACATATGAGCATAACTACTAATACACATAACATAAGCATAATCACTTAACTATAAACCTATAAACATTCCTCGGGCCCCATCCGACATCGGACCGAAATCCTGAAGCATACCGACATTCCTCGGGAACCGCCCCGGCATCGGACCGTAGTCCGGAAACATACAAATACATACACATGCAAGAATCACAAAGACATCAACCCTACTAACAATCTTCGGGTACCGTCCCGACATCGGATCGAAATCCGGAAAACATATAAACTAACATCGGACCTTAATTTGGAACATACTAACATATATAAACGGGTCGGCCATGGTGCCTTAGACCCGTTCCTACTGAAAGGAAAACTCACCTCTCAAGTTGGATACTGAAATATCGTGTGAGGAATCTCTTATGGCCGCTCCAACGACTCCCCGACTATCATTATCACAATAATCACTTAGTCAAAAACTGATAATCCTTCTAAGGGTAAAATGACCATTTTACCCCTGGTCAAAGTCAACATTCTGGTTGACCCATCTCGCCGAGTTCTATAACTAAAAAATCCTGGAATCGCGATCTAACTCGCAGAGTCACCCCCCCCCCCCCGACTCGTCGAGTTCTCTATGGTATAGAATCAGGACAACACGACTCAACTCGTCGAGTTCCTCTATGGACTTGAAAAGTTCTTCAGTCTGTTTGGGCCATCTCAAGGGATTAATCCCCTACTCTTCAGATCCAAGCTTCCTGTTTCTCCTATACACTGAATACGTCCTGTTAGGGGTAAAGTTTCCAACTTTACCCGTTAATATCCCTTCCTCAAGGGTTTAGCTAAAACCCTAGTTCTCTAGGACATAGATCTTGATCCAAAAGCCATAATACTCCAAACTAAAGCATACTAACATAGATCTAGGCCTTAGACATCAATTGGACACGTAAAGCTCCTAACTTTCCCTCCATGCATGGCCTTTTGGGGCTTAAAAGGCCAAAGTAACACCTTAAAGCTTGCATGGGGCTTCCATGGTCATAAAGTTTGCACCTTTATGCCATGAAACCCCTTCTAGACCCCAGATTTGAAAGATAGGTCACTTGGGATGTCCATTTCCCAAGGACCAAGTTTCTTGAACCAAAAACCCTATAAAGTGACAAAGAATAGATCTAACGAGCTACTAAGCAAGGTTGAGACTTGCTTACCTGAAAATGAAGAGGATGAGAAGTTTCTAGATCTACTAGCTTCCTTCTGAATCTCCAAGATTCTTCTCTTCTTCACAAGCTTCAAATGCACAAAGTTCACTAAAAAATGGCTCATAAACTCACAAAAGGCTCTAAGGTTTCGTGGATTAGGGTTTGGGGCTTGGAGGCTGGAAATGAGGTCAGCAAGTGGGGATTAAGATGCTTAAATAAGGTGCAAAATACCGAAATTAGGGTTTCATTCTGGCAGACCTACTCGCCGAGTCGAGGTTCCTAACTCGTCGAGTAGATTGCTTAAAACCCGTGTCCCTTCTAGTCTCTACTCGACGAGTTTGGGGCTACCAACTCGTCGAGTTGCTCTGTAAAAATGAGTGATTTAATATTTAATGCATATCAGGAACCAGGCGTTACATTCACTGTGGGGCAGACTGCTTTTGCCTCATGCACTTAGACTTTCTGATTGACCCGTTGGAAGAAAGATCAACACTTAGACCAACCGATGTTTTAGTTTTGGTTAGGTTGGAGGGAAGCACACATGTGTGGATCTAATATAGATTTCCCCTCTTGTAGGCTTAAGGAGTGGGGTTTTTCACTGTGGAGCATGCTGCTATAAAATTTGTCTCATGCAAAGTGGCAAAACACGAGAAAGCGTGCATGAAAAATCAACACACGTTTATACCTTTTGCATTTGATACTTTCAGTTTCCTTGTGCCAGATGTTATAGAGCTCCTCAATAGAGTTAATTGGGTTATGACCCCAAAATTTATAGATGTTTTTAAAAGAATTAGTTTTGTCATCCAAAAAAGGGGTATCAGTGCTTGTTGCTCGTTTACGCGCTACGTTTATGCAAAACTTTTATGATTTATGAATACTTAGTTAAAAGTGATGAAAAGATTTATAGATAATTGACATTTGCAAATATGATTCATAGTTGATAACTTCTATACAGTTAGGTAGAGAACTTTAGTCTCCTTCACATTTACATTTAAATCAATTTCTTGCAAATTATTCATGATACAAATGTTACACGTTATCTTTTAAGATATTCTAAGGCAATTCGGGCATGTTCATGCGGGCTTTCGGGCAGAGATCATAACAAATTGTCTGTTTCTGACACATGTAATATCTACCAGTCCATAGGTTTTGCACAAGTCTTTAAGTTCACTTTCAGATAGAAAGATACGACTTCCTGTTACCTGACTAAGAGTCTAAAATAACAAAATCAAACCAATCCATTAGTTTTAATAAACATTTATTTTTTTTATAAATAATTTCAAATTTTGTTAATCATCCATAAAGTTGAATACATTATACATACCTCGCGTATAAGTGATAAAAAGGGTATAAATGAATAAGGGCCATCTACTATGTAAGTTGTGGCAACAAAAACTCCTCCAGGACGTAAAATTCGATTTATTTCAGCTATCTGTTGCACATAGTATAATAAACAATATAAAAATGAATATAACCATTATGAGGTTGTTTAATCGAGTCAGACCCAACCTCTTACCAGACCTAGTAACATAGTAACAGACATATCAAACAGACCCTAAAAAAATACTTACACCAGCAGTTAGTGAGGGCCAACAATGAAGGGCTGCACCAGCATGCACAGCATCTATAGAACTTGAAGCGAATGGGAGTCGTGCAATATCAGCTCTAACCAAGATTAAGTTCCTAAAAATTACATTATTTTTTAATCAGAAATGATATAAAATGTGAAGTATGTAGAAATAATATATGAAAAATTAGATTTGTAATTGTACTCGTTTGATATGTTTTCCTCTTGCTTGATGAAGTCATAACACTGTTTTAACATGGACTCTGAATAATCTAGAGCAACAACAAGAGAAAACAGCCCGCTTTTTTTAAAAAGCCTTGAGAACATTCCACTACCACAACTAGCATCAATAATACTTCCTCCAATTACTGGATTAAGATAATCTTTCATCATTTCAAACTGTAGAAAAATAATAACAAAAAATTAAATCAAGTTTTCTGTTACTTAATACATGTTCAACAAAAGACATTACACACACACACACACACATATATATATATATATATATATATATATATATATATATATATATATCATATTACCTCCTTCTGTGGGCCCGGGTAACCACCCCATATTGAAAAACCCTGTCTCCAGCCTCTTTCATACAAGAATGATACTATAGGCAACCTGTGATCAAGAAATGAGTTTTGTTTTTTTGCTAAAATGAGTTTTAATTTTTATAGGTTTGTTGATTAGATTTTAGTACCTGAAAAGCTCAGAAGAAGCAGGCTTGTATTCACCATATTTCTTGGTGCCACTGGCTACTGTTAGATCAAGATGTGTTTCATTACCACTGTAGGACTTTTTACAGATGCTACATTTTAGGATAGATCGAGGGGTAGAATCTCTGTGAGAAGAATTTGCAGAAAGAAAATATTAAATTTTAAAGTAAGTGAAACAGATTGTTAAAGAAAAGAAGTATACAGATTTCAAATTGAATAGGTACTTACACTGAGAAAACTGGATCACCATTCCATATTAATGTGTCATAACAAATGGGGCAAGCCAGTACATGCTTCTTTTGATTTGGATTTGCCTCTTGTTCATTTGAATCAGTTCCCTGAATAAAAAGTAAACGAATCATTGAATTAAAAATGTAATGATGTATGGAAGAAAACTATCATCTCCTTCGTGAGCTTATGATTTGAATGTTACACAGACTTTAATTTGATTTTACTATAGAATCACAACGAAAACCAATCTAACGATTCTCTAAACGAGTGCATAAAACTCAAGTAACTATCTCGATTCAGTTTAAGACTGCTATTCAGCCATTAATCACATTCAATTTCTAATTAACCAAATTCATTCATTATCCACTATCGCTACATGAAAATTCACAATTCGCAATTCTCGCTCAAAAACTCAGATGCGTAGACATACCAGCATGGCTTCGAGGGTGGCAATTGCAGGTGACGCGCTGAGTTTTGCATCGAAGTTCCGATAAAGAGGTGAATTCACCATGAACGACAGAAGTTTATCGAGAAAACGATTTGACATACCACTATTAAACTGAGTCGCTACTGGAGCTAACGAAAGGTTGCCTGCTGCCATCGTCGACATTTCGGTGGACCTTGATTGAGTGGTTTGTCCAATCAGTTGCAGTTGTTTTACAAAAAGAAAAATAAAAAGAAAAAATAACCCAACAGTAAATAAATACAAATAAAATAACATTTTGTAATGTGTGCAAATAAATGCCAAAGCCAAAATTAGTTAAATTTTTGTTTGAGGGATGATGGCTTATATTATAACATTAGTTTCCTAAAACCCGACCCGAATTAATCTATTCGATTAAACACTTGATAATCTATGCTTCATTTTTATTTGTTTAGGTAATTGAATTTCACTCGAATTTATAAATCTGAATAGTATTTATGTGTAACAAAAAATTGAGAGTGGTCGGAATTGCCCTTTTTGTTTCAAAGGGTATCCAATCTATTGCTTTACGCAAAGGATGTAAGAAATGCTTATGGCATGGGGACTTAGGTGAGGAGACAAAAACACTATGATCTACGACAAAACGCAATTAATGTGTACATGTTTTATGAAAAGATATTAGTAAAATAAATTTATATGATATTATTCTCATTTTGATTTAGCGTATAAGTATAAAAGATGAATCCGGTAGGCAAAACAAAACTCTAATAAAAATAAATTTCACCAGAACCAATTTTGTTAATCTAACATGCAAATCCTGGTTTCCTAATTGATGGAATGGTTCGATAAAAGTTATAAACATGGAGAGACATACATCACATGAATTCCCTTGGATGATACTAAATGACAAATTTTAACAAACGAATAAAATCAATGCTATGGAGTAAAGATTTCTCGATAAAGTCAAGATCCACGCATTCAAACTTTTATATGTTTTAAAAATTTTGATTTTGAAAAAGAAAATAGTAAACTATATTATCCGAGCAATCCATATCAACCCATGATCATGAGAGGTCAAAACACTAGTCATATTTTAAGTATCGTGGAACACTAACAATGATTAATTCTTTATTTCAAACGTATCCAAGATAACAAACAATACGTAGGAAAAAATCAACTAAATTTGAATTTGTATCAGAAAGTTATGAGCATTTGAATGGGCGAAAAGGAAAGGGACATGTTCACACTTAGTAGGCATCCCACATTGGCACCTATTGAAAAAGAAATGGAAGAGTAAATTGTAACGCTCATGTTTTCACACTAGGTATACCCCAATAATTTTTTTTTTTATTTACAACCTTATAAAACATTTTGGTGTGCACTAGCATATTGGAATACAATAAGTTATCACTAAGAATCGTACTGACATCAAGTACATGATACAAGTCGGACGCTACAACAACCAAACCTGCAACACAACAATAACAAACACTGTAAGTCATAAAGTTTGCTTAGTGAATAACAACTATAATAACTTAATAGCACGTAGCATCATTTACAAATTTAACTTATCATCCAAGATATACGTCATATCCAATATACTAATTAAATTATACTAATTAGTTATTGTTTCATAACACCACATGAAACCTACTTGTGTCATTTTACCATAAAAACTATAACCTAACAACAATGTTAAGACTAAACCAATGTTTTACCACTATCATAACCACCCGTTCGGGAATCCTCCGTCCAAAGTAAGCACATCACGGTCATTTTCAACTATCACTTGAACTTATCATGAGAATACATTGTACTATCACCTCAACGATGCACTGTCTAATGATATATCACAATATTTTAAATTCTCATATCTGTGTAACAACATACATCAATAAACATTCAGTGTTAGAGTAGAGCTACTCACCTGGTTATTTAGCAGACTAATTCCAACTTTGGTATCTGACATTCGTTGCCTTTCTGCTTGCCACATACCAACACCTAATCAATAATTTAGCCAGTTCCATAGAACTTGTAAGCATTTACTACCAGCCAAGGTTGTAGAAATCGGGATTAATCGTTTGATGTTTTGCAATTGACTAGGATTAGGGGTGCTTGGTAGAAATTGGTCAATTTCGGTCAACGAAGTTCTTGGCGTTCTCGATGGTCAACGACGGTCAACAAAAATCAAAATTAGTCAATGGTCAAAGATGGTAAAAAAAAAACTCCAAAATTGATCTCATCATATTCCAATATCTTATCCGTCGTTTTCTTTGCTTTCTCTCTCAAACTAGAACACCCCGCTCCCGAGTTCAACTTAAGGAGAGAAAAGAAAGGAAATGGGCGGAAATGAGAGGAAAGTAAGAGAGATTGGTGCTCCCGAGTTTCATTAAAGGAAGGAAGTGGAAGGAAATGGAAGGAAAACTTTCTCTCCTAACTTTCCTTCCGATTTGGGAGGATTTGAAAAGAAAGAACAAAATGTTTAACTTTCCTTCCATTTCTCTCCAACTCGGGAGCACAAATGAAAATTTTGTTTTCCTTTCTTTTCTCTTCTTTTCTCTCCTTTCTTTCTTTTCTTTTCTCTTATTTTCTTTGCTACAACTCGGGAGCGGGGTGGAAGTGTCCCTACCAGCAACGCACAAAGCAAAAACCGGCGACACGCACACCAAACACCGGCGGCGCACACAACAGAAGCCGATGCTCAACATACTTCGGCAACACGCCTAGCGGACACCGACGATGCACACAACAGAAACCGACGCCACGACACCCACCATTACCGACAGTTCACTCCGACGACGCACATATCAGACGTCGGTAAGTGTATTTATTGTTTCTGATTTTCGAGCATTGTCTCCACATACTTGGTACATTCTTGTTTAACTTATATTTTCTGTGAAAAGAAAGCTGATTTTTGTCTCCACATATTTGTTTCTGATTTCCGATTTCAGTGATAACAAAGCTTGTATATGATTTTTTGCATACAAAATTATAATTTATGAGGATGTTTTTAGATATAATTTATGTGATAACCATGATGATTTGTTATTTATGTTTATTAATGTTTATGAGTTCTAATTTTTGTGAGAACGTGGTGTGAGTTCTGATTTTTGTGAGAACATGGTGTGTATGTATTTAGCGTGTCTGTTTCTTGATTTCTCTACTAGAGACTAAGGTAATCAACCAAATTGTGAATATTTACAACTATAAGAGATTCCACCTAAAGTAATCAGTTTGTATCAATTTTTTACTGTATCGGTATGTATATGTATTTCTTCATTTCTTTACTCTATCAGTTAGTTTGTATCCATTGGCGGGGCTTCATTAGGGCAAGGGGGGGCTGTGCCTCCCCCCCTGATTTTTGGTTTGATATAGTCCTTCTAGTTCCATTTTATACATTTTAGACCCAAAAGATATAAAACTTTGGCTGTGGCCCCCCCTGCTTACCAAATTTTTATACATATTATAATTTCGGCCCCTCCGAATTAAATGTTGAAGCTCCGCCCCTTGTATCGGTTTGTATTTCTGTTAAACATTTTACTGTATCAATTTGTATCACTAACTCACTTTCTATTAAATAGCTTTCTAGCTGAAGTAATGACATCAACCACAACAACCCCGTCTACGGGATCGATCGAAGCTTAAGAGAGTCTTAAACACAAATCGAATGATCCCGGATGGGAGTATGCAGTCTGTTTGAATCCTAACAAAATGGAGCGAGTGAAATACATTTTATTTAATAAAGAGATGGGAGCAAGAATCAATAGACTAAAACAACATATTGCACAAATTAATGGAAATGTTTTCTTCATGTCACAACGCCACAATACAAGACCAAATAAAATGTAGAGATGCTATTCAAGGGTGATGGGTTGCAAAAGTGATCGATTTTGTGATGTTTGAAAAGCTATAATGTTTGTATTGATTTCAGTGATCGATTTCATGTTTTAAGGATCGTCCTGAATTTGGTTTAGTATAATTACTCGTATGGAGTATCAGGTGTTGAATTTAAATATCATATTGCTAATTTGGTGAATTTCAATCAACTTATGATTTTAAATTATAATTTTGACATATATAATTTCCCTAAAAATATTTCTACATGAATTACCGAATCTCAGTAGCGAGTTCTACAACCTTGATTATATATATATATATATATATATATATATATATATATATATATATATATATATATATATTGTCCCTGATTAATCTCCATCGAGATCGATTAATCCCTTAACCTTTGAATAGCATCTCAGTCGACCGTCAAACGATTTTTACAACCTTGCTGGCAGCTACTTTGTGATCATTTTGTCACCAAGCTAACTATTATTGGCTTAACCTGTAAGCCATTAACTAAATCTTACACATCTGATAACCCCTGTGGATTAGGGTTTATAACTCTCACTGTCTAGATTATGTATTTAACCGCAAGATTTATCTATTAATCTTACCATAGGGTTTACAATAGCACCATATCATGAATTCCTGTAACATATACTCGGGTCTAACAACCCTCTATGAAATATTACATAAACGTAATTATGAAATGACGGGATAAAAGATACATCAGCTAATCCCATAACTCAAACCATCGTATCCTCGTACGTTAGTACGACTTTGCAGTAATAATTCTATGGAAACACATCTCGATCCTCTCCCCCGATTGTGTATGCCAAAACTCCTCAAATGACACAAACACAAACTATATATATTGCTTGTAAATCGCGTCGCATTAAGGTAAAACTACGAAATGGTGTTTCGTCCAACATCTCGACACATGTATCACCCTTCTTCCACGTGTTCGACACATGTCTCGTGACTCTGCTCGCCTTAACACCACGTAAGTCAATACTCCATGCCATGTTGACTCGATATTTGGCCGTTTGACTTTGGCTTTCTTTGACTTTTTCAAAACAACAAAATAATTTTATCTCAAGTTCAAATGGCCATAAATTTCTCATACGGACTCCGATTTTGACTATCTTTATATCCATGGAACCGTCTCAAAGTAATCTATCACTTTCTTTCCTTAATCCATAACTATTCTTACAGAGTAATACATGTTATGAAAAATAAGTGATACATAGATCATTATAAAAAGGGAGGCATAGGAGGGGAATCAAGTTGTAACACTTGGGTCTGGGTATGCGGTTTATCTCTTGATCTTCTTTTAGTTAAGTTCGGTTTGCGGTTTTGGTAGAGTTTCGATGCGGCTACTTAATGATCGCGACATTTGCCGCATCATTAAGTAGTGACGTGACCTTATGTCCCAAAACCTTAGGTTTCGGGTTTTGAGCCTATTTAAGGAATGTCGTGACAGCCGTCGAAAAATGGTCAATAGTCGTCAATCGAAAACGTAACAAACATCGACTAAATGACCTAATGTATAATGTTTGATCAATTTTAAATAAAAATACAATATTATACACTTAAAATATATAGGAAAAATAAGCCGAATCGCCTGAAAACTACAAAATAGACGCGCAAAAAATTGTATTATTTTATAAAAATAATAACATATTTGGATAGTACACGCCGCCGTGATTCCGGAAATATAAAGAACGCAAAAATATGATTGCGTATGAGGAAGTTATGATTTTCTAAGTTTTAAAATCAACCATGTGTAGAAATATGCGTCGTAAAAAAGTAAAGGAAAATTGGTTTTAGCCAAAACAATGTAAAGGAGAGTCATAGTACTTGTTAATATCAAACCAGTAAAATGAAGAACACCGAAAACGGAGTTTATATGAGAGAGTTGTGGTTTTTGAAAGATCATTTAGGGTACACCCCTTGCAAAAAGATGGGCTAAAAATAAACGCTGAATTAGCAAAAACAATCTAAAGGAAATTTGTATTACTCATCGATAGCTACACTATAAAGAACGTAAAAAACGGAGCTCGTATGCAAACTGTAAAACACACCTTATGATCTGATGAGTCAAACACCACACGTTGTCCACCAACGTCAGCACCAGCGTCATCATCAACATGATCAACGACAACGTGAACTCAATGATCTTAGTGATCATATGTATATTAGGAAGATATTATTTGTATATATAGAACAGATATCTGATCCGTAATATTAGTGATTAGGTTCAGAACTTTACATAGATTAGTATAGATCCCCTAAATAGTGGGATCTCCATTTTTGTAATCATATATAATGTACTATTAGGGTTAAACCCTAATAGAGCTTGGTGTCGTCTTTGTGACTTGTTCTCTTTTGTGAGAACCCTATTTCTTAATTAAAGTATATTTGTGATCATCTTGCTCTTTGTTATTTGTTTGTTCTTCATTATTAATACTTGAGTGTACCCGATCGATACAAACATTCACAAACATTATGAATTTCTAAAGATCCGAAACTATACTCGATAGGGGTAACATGACGCCACCATAACGAGGCATGTGGCACGACAAACGTAGAGATTCGCTAAGATTCGACCGACGTGGACGAATGAAAGGGTAACATGTGTCATCCTCTGGGTGGAGCCCACGAGCTTTTGCACAACGTGCCTCTACAAAAGCACAAAGCACTTTCCTATTTGAAGCCTTTAAATAGCAGGTTTGGTCTCATTATTTCACACCCTAAAATTCATACTCTCCTTGAACCTCTCTCGACCATAAACCTTTCCCTCTACCCAAGAAGTCCTAAGCCTCCTGATGCCATCAGCAGCATCACCAGAAGCCTGTTAGAGCACGCTTCAAGGGTGAGTCTCACGACCTATTTATATTGTTTTTCGTGTGTCTCTCTCTGTGTGTGTGGGA